TTGGAAGCAATGGAGCAAAGACCGGGCAAAGAGGAGGAAACAACCAATGTTCACGGTCAGATGTTGGAGTTCACGGTCTTATAATGCCGTGAACTAGATCCAGAACTCGTGAAACAAGGAGCGATCAGAGAGGGTTTTCAGGTTACTGACGGTCAGGCTGTTCACGGCCGCTAAGACCGTGAACATAGGCCACAGACCGTGAACCCGAGCCATCAGAGCGGTGTGTTTTGGTGTCATCACTGAGTTCAAGGACGCGTTTCAATGTTCAAGGTCGTGAACTCAGGCCGTGAACTCAGGCCGTGAACTGGGCACGATCTCAATTAAAAGGGATGAAAGGTAGAAGGAAAGGGAGAGACCTAGTGTGAGAAAAACTTCTCCAATTCAGATTTTAGAGTAAAAAGTGATGAATCAAAGAAGAGGAAAAGCTATGGTTTCATCTCCAAGCAAGGTTTTAGGTTTCTTCAGCACAAGGAGCAAGGCTTGCATCTTCATGATGGTTTTCCTTGCCCTCTTTTGTGTTTTCCCTTCTCCTAGCATGGAGTAGTCCCTTCTTTCACTTGGGTGTTTGTGAACCCTAGCTAAAATTATGTAAATACTTGTATGAATTGAATGATTTGTGTGTGGTTGTGTTTTAATGTGAATGTGGAGGTATTATTCAGAAATGATTGTGTTGTGTGAAAGCCTATCAATCTAATTATCATTCTAACCTAGCTTAGAGAGGAGACCTCCTAAGGTTAAGAGGCTCAATTGGAGATGGGTGTTCTTGGGCATTCATGCCTCCTAGTCTAGTTTAGAGAGGAAACCTCCTTTGTTTCCAAAGAGGCTCTATTAGGGTTGGGTTTCCTTGGGCATTCAATGCCTCCTAAGCTAGTTTAGAGAGAACCCTCCTTAACCTAAGAGGCTCTATTAGAGATGGGTTTCCTTGGGCATTCTATGCCTCCTATTCTAGGTTAGTTAACGGGCAAACCTCTTAATTCGTATTAAGCACTTAGCGTTTGATTGTGGGTGGTCGTCCGAACTCCAATTCGAGGGTGAAGTCTAACCATTCCTTAGTCGATAGGTTGAGAGGGCCACATTAATGGCTTGGATCGTATCCCATTCCTCAACCTAGAGTCTAAGATGGTAGCTTTGGCTGCTTGTTAGACTTCCCTGCGGTTTATGGCCCCCTAATCACACACAGTCGTTCGAGTCGCCAAGTCGTAATTTTTAGGTAGGGGGAGCAACACCAGGGTGAAGCTTTCTCAACTAGATTCAAATCCATTTTATCTTTGCAAAACAATTTAGTTTTAGACCTTTGTTTTCACACAAAAACCGATTCGCTAGATAATGTTTCAAACAGTCGAAGTAGCAGTACATGGACCGGCCCAGATCGATATTTAAACATACTTGCCCTATATTTCACCCATCTAAGGTTTATACTTGGACCTTAGGTGAGATTTTATTATGATAGTTAGAGCGTGTCAGCGGGAAATAAGGAAGAGATAATTGAAATGCAAGAGAAGAAAGAAAGTAATATCAAAGATAAATGTGTCACTAATGGAGATAAAGACATTCTTAATGGCCATGATGAGGTTATTGCTCATGCCGGAGTAAATGCAAACAAGCCAAAAAGAAAACGTGCAGTAATCTCTTACGATGAGGAGTAATTAGAAGGGTCATTTTAATTGGTCTTTAGGAGTAAGTTCCCTTGCATGGGTTTTTCTTTCATTTTTGTAAAATAATGTTAGTTGATTAGTCCTTAGAATGTCTGAAAACAATATGATAGTCTTTTGATTTGTTCAACTATTTTAATGATTTTGATCTCTAATTCTTCCAATCAATTCGAATGTTTAGAGTACTGGGTAAATTGCATTGTTGGTTACTGGAATTACTAAAAACGTTCATGTTTGGTCACTAAAAATATTTAAATCCATTCGTGGTCACTCAGATTGGTTCAATGTCCAAGTTTGGTCACTCTCTGTTAGCTTCCGTCAATTATTTGCTGACGTGGCTAACAGACTCGCCTAATCACCTATTTTTAACCCAGAAAAATATAATTCGACCCTGCCACGTCATTAAAAATCCTAACACATCATAAAAACCTAACCATTGTGACCCATTAACCCATACCCAACCCAACCCAAATTAATACTCAATTTTGACCACTCCATAAAATCCCTAGACGGAGAAGCGGACCGGAAGAAGCTCTTGTCCCCACCCATTTCCAATCCGTCGATTTCCAATTCCACGTTCTCCTCCCTCTCCTATTCTACTTCGTCTGACAGAAACATCACCACCATGGGCAGCACAATCTTTGTCGGTGGCTGCCGCCTGATCTACCTTGATCCCTCCTCTGGATTCAGCCTCTCTCCTCTGTCAATGGCAGTTGGCAAATCTACTCGATCTCCGACAATGACTTCAACGAGGAGGAAGAAAGAGCAGATTCAACTTGCAACTGATCGTTCCCATTTCTTCCCTCATCGTCTATCCCACTCCCCTACCAAATCTCCTCGACAACGTCTTCCCTGCCAACACCCTCACCAAACTCGACCAGCTCTGGATCCAGGCATAAATCACATGGTTAATTGGTTCTAATGGCTACCCTTTTGTGAAAATTTAATAACAACAACAATCTTTGTTAATAAAAAACCCCACACTTTTATTCATCTTGACCTGAGTTAATAATTGCAAGTAGCAAGATGAATTGAGGAGAAAACAGGACCACCCACTCTGCTCACTAGTCACCCCCATTTCTCTCCTTCATCATACACGATTCCCTCTTCCTCCCTCTCTCTGAATCCAGGCATAAACTCCGCCCGACGAACACTAGCTCTGAGTTCTTGTATCTTGGACACTTGTTAATACCCATGGGATTAGGGATGGTGGCAGTCGAATCCTGATCCGATTGAGTCTCTAGTTGCGGGGAAGATGGATTCGTCGGAGCTCCGGCCTCTCTTGCCACTGAATCGTCATCTACAAAATCTGGATGCTTATGGTTCCCCTAAAGATGACGATGAAGAGGAAGAACGCCCAACCGTCCTGGTTGCTTTCCTCTGCTTGGACTTTCGGCGCGGGGGTAGAAGAGGAAAAAGCCAAAGAAAAAGCGGGAGAGAAGTTTTGTTCAACGGCATCTAGCGAGGTGAAGAAGAAAGGGGAGCGACAGCCCTTGAATTTAGGGATTTTCTGGGAAGCTAGAGGAAGAAGACAATGATAGCTCGAAAAGTCGATTTAGGGGTTTCTCTGGGTTGATCAATAAACCATGTGTTGACTTTCTTGTGATGTGGCAGGTCGATTTTTTTTTTTTGTGTGTGGGTAAAACTAGGCGACTAGATATTTTTGTTAGTCACGTTAGCAAAAAATTAACGACGTTAACGGAAGTTAACAGAGAGTGACCAACCTTGAACCATTGAACTAATCTGAATGACCACGTGTGTATTTTGATAATTTTTTTAAAAACATGTGTATTTTGATATTTTTCCCACGGTACCTCATTTTAAAATCACCAAAGCCTAATAGACTAAAACGAAGCTATATCCAAAGTTTAGTGACCTTCTCGATACAAAATTAAATTGGGTTAATTATATGGTTGGTCACTGAAATTACAAAAAACGTTCATGTTTGGTCACTGAAAATATTTAAATCCAATCTTGGTCACTCAAATTAGTTAAATGGTTCAAGTTTGGTCACTCTCCGTCCAACTCCGTTAAATATGTCTGATGTGGCAGTCAACCCTCAAAGTTGACCGTTAATTCGGTGACGTGGCAATTAAAAAATAATAAATAAAATTAAATTTAATCTTCTACCATTTTTAACTCATTTCACAATAAAGTAAAATAAAAAAAATAAAAAAAAATTATAAATGGCTTCTTCTGCTCCTCCGCCGCCGCCGCCGTCTCCTCCCCAATCACCGTCGCCGCTTCTTCTTCCTCCTCCTCGGCCCGTCCACCTTCAAGCTCAACACCAGCTCCGGCCTCTTCCGCAAGAAGAAGGGCAGCCGCTCGATCGACGCCGGCGGACCCGATTCCAAATTCGACGTCTATTGGGATCTCTCCTCCGCCCGCTACGACTCCGGCCCGGAGCCCATCGACGGGTTCTACGTCATCGTTTTGGTCGATTCCGAAATTGCCCTCGTCCTCGACGACCTGGCCGACGAATCCGCAGTTCTATCCAAGAAATTGCTGAGGGCGGCGCCGGCCGCCGCCATAGTCAGCTTGATTTCGAGGCATGAGCATTGCTCCGGGAGCACTCTGTATTCCACTAAAGCTCGATTCTCCGAGACCTGCGGCGAGCATGATATCCTGATTAAATGCAGCGGCGGCGGCGGCGAGGGGGAGAAGGAAGGGCTGAAGCAGAGGCATCACCACCCTGTTCTCTCCGTCTGTATCGATAAGAAGGTTGTGATTCGGGTGAAGAGGTTGCAGTGGAATTTCAGAGGGAAGGGGCCATAGCTAATCTGATAAAAAAGAAGAATTAATTTGTAGATTTTTGGGAATGCAGAGATTATGTGAAGAACCTTGACATTTTGTTTTTCTGTTTGCCACTCACACACAGCAGAAACAGAATTCCCTGTTTTTCTTTTTCCACCAACAGAACTGTTCCGTGACTCTGTTTTTCATCTTTGGCATGTAGCTAAAATGTTTCCTCTGTTTTATGAGAATTTGTTGAAGAGAGTTTAGCATCTTTGGCGTGTGACCAAACGGTAGAAGTCATTTATAATAATTTTTTTATTTTACTTTATTGTAAAAATGAGTTGGAAATAGTAGAAGATTAAAATTTATTTTATTTATTATTTTTTAATTGCCATGTCACCGAGTTAACGGTCAACTTTGAGGGTTGACTGCCACATCAGACATATTTAACGGAGTTGGACGGAGAGTGACCAAACTTGAACCATTTAACTAATTTGAGTGACCAAGATTGGACTTAAATATTTTCAGTGACCAAACATGAACGTTTTTTGTAATCTCAGTGACCAACCATGAACGTTTTTTGTAATCTCAGTGACCAACCATGCAATTAACCCAAATTAAATTAAACCAGAGAGAAATTAATGTCGGGCGAACCCTGAAAACCGAAGCAAGAAATCCCTAGAATTGGAGAGAACGACGGCCGGGGAAGAAAAATAATGAACTGGATACGGAGCAGCGCGTCCCTCGCCGCCACATCGTTGAACTCGGTGGTGGCTCGGGAGAACCAGCTGTACCGGACTCAGCAATGGCGGGGGATCCGGGTTATGGTCTTTGACGGGAACGTGGAGAGGGCTCTTACCGTGTTGCAGCGGAAGATGCAATCGAGCGGGATGGAACGGCTGATCAAGCGGGCGCAGACGACTCACCTGAAGAACTCGGAGAAGCGAGTTTTGGCTCACAAGAATCTGATGCACCGGGTTAAGTCCGAGGATCTTGCCCGCAAGCTCCAGGGCATCCTCCAGAAAAAAATCAGGTGAATTTGAATTAAAAATCGTTTTCCTTAGCTTTAATTATCTGACGGAAGGTGGTGATTTTTCATTAGTGGGAACTGTAATTTAGATGTTTGAAATGGTTGGGATGGTGGAAAGGGATTCGAGAATATGATATAGGGGTAGGGTTGATGTTGAATTGGGAAGGCGATGGAACAAAATTTTATGAATTATTAGTATGATCGGAAGTTCTCTGTACTTCAGCTGTTTAATAAGCCAGCATTTGTTATGATGGAGAAGATCAAGATTGAGTTACATTGAATAAGGTTGATTAGGATCTCATGAATGTGAAGCAATGCGGAGAAGCGAGGGTTTGGGCTTGTGCATAGAACTTTAGACCTGTGGTTTTTGCTTGTGTCAAGAGTCTCTTACTCTCTTTTCTCCTACGGGGTTGTCATGGGAAGTAGCATTCCAGAAGATGAAGATTTGTGTGTATCAGCTTGATCGTTGATTATGAATGTTCATATGTAATGGAAGCTCTATTGCCGTTATTGTGGCAGCTGGTTCTGTCGAAGGGCTTGACAAAAGAACTTTTATTTGGTTTAGCAGAAGATCTTTTTGCTAATGTAACTTGTACTATCAAGTTAAGAATATTACTCTTTTGGATTCTTTACTGTAGGGTTCTATCTAAGTTTTCATCTGCCCGTTATTACTTGCTTACCTTTTTGAAACTTTGATGCTTTGTTTATGGCCTGCAAGGAAGCTCCTTTCCTTCTGTTTGCATATCTCTTTTTCAAGTTAAGAACTTTGCAATTGGTATCAACTGAATGTATTGATGAATGTTTCAGGGGACTGTGAGAGCTGGTATCGGGTGGCGCAAATCAGACTGTAGCGAGTTGGTGACCTTGCAAAACACTGTTGTTTACAGTAGAATCGGCTGTTTTGAGCTGCTTATTCATGTTAGTTGGCTTTGTTCTGAAATCATGTTGAGATAGCTAGATCAGCAGAACTCTTGATGTTAGCTGTCCATTCCTTACAGAAGACATTTATTCACAGAACCATTGAAGGTTTAACCATTCTGTTGCAAAATGGTTCCTCTAGCTCTCTTCTCTGTTTGTGTCACCATTCCGGACCCTGTTAATCTTAAAGAGGCATCAAATAAGTGTTGCATTCAAGGCTAATAATCTAATATGGCATATGGATGGGAAATTGATGTGATTCTTTTTCGTGGATGATTTGAGTTCTGAATTTAAGTTTCAATAGAGATAAAATCTCGATGGGTTTATTTTAGGGATGACAATTTCGACCTGATCCGTTTTACCCGACCTGTTTGGCCTGTTTTGGGGCGGGAGTGGGGGAGGGCATGGGTACTCTCATTGACCTGACCTGCCTCATTCTCGACCCGTTCTTGCCTAAATTACATGTAATCTTAGAGTCAAATTACTTAGGATTTTTCTTTTATTACATCATAATTTAGCTATAATAAAATTGTAAATTAGTGAAAACCTCAACTTCTCTAATAATTTTACATTTATCATAATATTGTTTGTTTTCTTGGTCTTATAATAAAAATAACGAATATTTATAATATTTTCATATAAATTGCATACTCATTGGGTCGACCTGCTCCGACCCGCTACCTGTGATAAATTACCCGACCTGCCACGGGGCGGGTCTGGTACTAAGAAACCCGCCCCGGACCTGCCTCATTGCCATTCCTAGTTTACTTCGGTTCATGACAGCTTGCTTGATTCACTTGTGCTCAGAATTGTTCCCTACTGTGCGGATGTATTCATGAAGAATCGATATTCTTACGCTGTAATTGGTCGTGGTGGTTGAATCGCTTTGTCGGAGACAAAATCAATATTATGATGATACCTTGATCTTGTTTACGATTTTGTTTTTTTTTTCCCATGTTTTAATTGTTAGCAAAAGTTATGCACTCTAAAGAACTCTTACCTAACGAGTGTATATGCTTAAACTCTTCCAAATACAAGCTAGAGATTCGAAAAATTCTGAAAAATTACCGCAACTCAGAAGGCATGGGCCAGCCAGCCGAAAGTTGAGTCCAGTTTTGTTTTATATTAGTGGGATTTAAAGAGCCCAGCTCGGAAGCCCACTCTCCAGTCTCCAGTCCACTGTGTGTCCGCCAGCTGTAAATCTTCTGAGTCAGTGGAAAATTGACCGAGCGGGGCGGAACAAAAAACCCAGGCAAGCAGCTCAGCTCACTGCCCAAACAGAAGAAACCTCGCACGGGGTTTAAGAGCAGAGGTAGGAAAAATAGAAGTTCAAACCTTTTCCCCTTTCCGCCGGCGACTCCAATCATGGAGACGATGAGGCTCCGATTAACATTCGACAAAGCTCTATCAGACTCCCTTGAGAAGACAGATGGATTGAAACGTTTCTGGGTTCTCCTAAAACCTCAGCACAAAACCATCTCCGATCTCTCTCATTACCTTCTCGACGCTTTCGACCTCCACAATGCATGCCCCGACGGCCTTCTCCTCTCGGTAAACAACCTCTACATCTGGCATCCGATTTCAAGTTTGGAGAGTGTTTGTGATTCGTTCTTTGTGTTTTGTTTGGCAGATGGAAGGGTTCTTTCTACCGCCATTCGAGTCTACTAGTGTGTTGAAGGACAGAGATATTGTCAGGGTTAAGAGGAAAAGTGGCGAGATTATTAAGTTGGCTCATAATGGGCAAGAAAGGGCTGATTTGGGAATGTTGGAATTTGTGGGTCATCGGCCTTTAGCTGTTGCTGTAGCTCCAATGAAGCTTCTGGCGAATGAAGAATTTGAGAAGGAAACTGGTGGCTATGAGAGTGATGAACCAGAAGAGGAGGACGAAGCTGAGCTGGAGGATATATTGCATGTGGAGGAAAAAACCCCAGAAATGAAGAAGGTTTCGAAGAAGAGGAAGGCCTCCGAGGAACCCGGGAGCTCGAAGTATGGTCTCTTTGTTTGTATCCCTCTCTTTTTTGTCGTAGGAAGACTGAAGTTTTACAACCAATTTTGAGGAGATGTGGATGGGATGCAGTGTTGGGAAGTTCAAGTAATGGGGGTACTTTGAATTTTCAGGAAGAAGAAGAGGAAGAAGAAATCTTCTAGTACTGAGAAATGTGGAGATGTTATTGATGATTCTGAAAACAATATCGATGCTCGAAAGGACACAAAATCCTATGTTGCTGCTGATAAGAAGAAGGTTAAGAAAGATCGTAAGGCGAGTGATGGCACTCCAAATGCCAAGAAGTAGGTTGTCTCAATCTTGCTTATTTTTGTTCCCTGGTCAATTAGCTTCTATGATATTAAGGATCCCTAATAGCGAATTTGCTTGCTGATGGCATACAAGGATTGGTAGGTCAGAGCAGCAAGATATAGTTGAGTTGAGAATTCAAGTAGGATATCTCCCTTTGTCCATGATATTTAGTGTAGCTAACAATGTATGAAAATTGTTTGTTCCTCTGGGTATAAGGAAACATACTACTTTGTGTTTCTTGGTTTAATCTAGCAGTTCCTGTCCTAGCCTTCATTCCTGATCTGCTTATGATTTAATCAAATTTGATACTTTGCTGTGAGAAAAATGTCAGTGTAAGATAGTATGGATGACAATGGGGCTTGTAATGCTTGCAGTTCTCTTGTGGATTTCTATTTTTTTTTCTTTCTGTTTCAGATCAAGTGAGCCTAAAGGTTGCTGTTCTGATCATGTCGATGCCTCGTGTCCACCTTCTGAAACTAAAAAGGTATAGCTGTTATTATTTACTGAACATAAACTCACTCGTTGCAGTCTGAGAGGGTTGTATCTTGATGGCGGCACTATCAGTGAGATGCTGTTACATGGCTAAAATATTACCTTTCTGTTTGTAGTGAGCATGTTTTGGTTTTTGACACTACGTTCCTTGCTTTTGAAACATGCAATTCCATGTTTGACTTCAGCTTTACAATGCCTTGAGTTTCAGCTCCCAAGTAGAAGTGCTCGACGTAAGAAGGCCAAGAGACAATGGTTGAGGGAGATAAGAAGAGCTGAAAAGAAAGTATGCTCATCGTGTCATTACTTTAATAGCATTGAAACAACCAGTGAAATCATTTTCTGTTTATAATGTCTTTGGTTCTGAATGCTGAATCTTTCAGGAAGAAGAGGAGAAGCAATTGTCTTCAAAACCTAACCAGAAAGCTAGTCAAAAGAAGAAGCACAAAGCAATTGAGGAACCAGCTGACAAACAAAAGCACTCTTTGGTGGAAGAACTTCCTAACAAGGGTGATAGCACAAATGTTCAAGCGGAAAATCAACAATCAGGTCAAGTTGGTGATAAAGATGATGAGGTTGTACCAGTAGTGATAAGACCAGGACATATTCGTTTTGAGCCACTGCAGAAAGGTGCAAATGATTATAATGGTCTGCCTTTCAGCCTTTGTATTATTGCTTTTTCAGTACTTACCTTTCTTCTTAATGTGGTTCTTGTTCCAGGTAGTGCTGATCAGTCTGTCCAACAAAATCAAACTCTGCTAGTAGGTTCCTTTCTGGACATTGTCATTTCTGTAGTAATTTGATAGTTTAATGCTTTCTTCAGCTTTGGATGTTAAATTCTCTGTTTTCTCCCATCCTGGATGCTGCTTCAGGAAACCTCTCAGTGGAATGGGATGAGCAAAAAGAAAGGTCAAAAATGGGGTTCACAGAAAAGTACGTCATGGCAATGGAATGATAATGGAAAATCCAGTCATAAACCTTCTGAAACATGGAAGGATAACACAAATTCCAGCCACAAACCTTCCGAAACATGGAATCACGATGCCAATTCCAGCCACAAACCTTCTGAAACACGACCAGTCGAAAAAGAACCAGCTCCCTTTTACAATCAGATCGACTTTGATAAGCTTTCAGCTTATGCACACTCGCCCAAGGTTAAGTTTGTTCTTATGCTTAATTATTTTGACCTCTGTGTTCAGTCTTGTTTGGCATTGAATGAAGAGTCTTTTGCTTCTTACAAATATTGCAGGAAGGGGACATTATTGCTTATCGGCTCATTCAGCTATCGTCATCCTGGACTCCAGAGCTTTCAACATACTTGGTACTGTTCTTTCTTCGTTTTCATTTTCTTCCACGATGTTCTGTTTGAGAGCATAGAATGAATATCCTCTGATGTTGTCTCTAGGTAGGGAGGATATCGAAGTTCAACCCTCAAACCAACAAGATCAAGCTGGTCCCAGTTCCGAATTATCCTTTGATCCCTGATAACAAATTACAGGATGAAGAATCCGAGGTGCTTCCAGAAACTTGTTCTTTGCAAGAAGATGGATCTCTAGTGGTCAGTAAACTAAAACACCTCACTGAACAACAGTTCTCTACTTCCCCTTTCCTCTCCCTCTTCAGTTATCAAATGACTTGATTAGTTTAAGCTCTTATTCTCCAGATGGATTTTACTTCAATTCTGGAAGTCCGCGCTGTGAACCCTAGCAGCACTGACTCAGCAAAGGCCACTCTTGTCAATGAGGCCTCTCCAAATAAAGTTCAATGTACACCAGAAAATGGCACGAAAAATCATACTTCTAGTCAAGGTGCTGATTGCTAATTTGGTACTTTGTTGACTCAACAATTTCATTTATCATCCACGAGTATCATCTCACTTTCCATTGTTAAAACTTGCTAGAACAAAGAGAAGCAACGAAGAATCCGTGGGATGAGATCAGCCAAGCCTTGAGTGCAAAGAAAGCAGAATTGTCACAGGAGGATAATAACTGGACAGTAACAGAGAGCTCGGGCAGAAACCAATGGAGTTTCAAGGCGTTGAGAGGCAGTGCTCTAGGTCCGACTATGGCTCTATTAAGATCTCAGAATGGAATATGAAGCAATATAGTTTGTCTGCGAAATGGGAAATGGACAAGAACTCATCTTTTGTAAAGCCCCTACCTAAAGCCAACTTAGATCTGCTCCAAAATTTTGTTGCTGTTTTGTGCCGTTCATGGCAAAGGTCACATCTATAGCTTGACATAGCACTGTAAAAGTTAAGGAACAAGGGGGAAATCGAAAATCTTCTCTTGATTTACTTTTATTAGGTCGAAGTGTTTATTACTCCTGCTATGATTCCAAGACCTGAACAACAAACTTGTATTTCCCCTTTTCTGTACATAGTTTCTTTCAAGGGAAAAAAAAGCTCTCTACATTACATAACCCGAGCAGGAAAAAAGGATCAATTCTGAACACATTCTGGGTTGCCACCAAACTTCTTGGACTCCCATTTCTTGCAATTACTCTCAACATTCTAACCGACTCAGTGCACATGCTGAGAAGAAGCTCCATAACCTGAAGATGAACATTATCCATGGCAATGACAAAGCTAGATCACAACTGGGTTAATATCAACTCTGCCATCTTCCTCTCTATCAGAAATGTCACGTTCCGTGCCATTGGTCATATCAACATCAACCATTTCATCATTCTCCCCATGACCATCCTTCATCACATCATCATCCAATTCGGGCTGCTGCAGAATTTTCCCACAACTTACTATGCGTAGCGGAGGGTTACTCCCTCCTCGCTCTGCTATAGATGGTGAAGTATCTTCCTTGTACGAGTCGTGACTCTTTTCAAGATCAACAGGAAACACCTTTGTAGGCGAGTTAAGAACTTCTAAACCAGAAGGTGAAGGCTGCTGGGATGATAAGTCAGACCAGTTGGAAGATGAGGGCGAAAAGGTTAACGAACTTGACGAATAATCAGATGCCGAAGGTGATGTTGTAGCAGGAGACTTGTAGCCGAGTTTCTGTGCTGCGTCCGGAGAGCAAGAGAAATAAGAATCAGATGAAGCACAAGGAGACGGTGAAGACAATGTGTCCTTACATGGGATCTCTTTTTCCTCCACATCTTCTTCACCTTCATGCATTACTGAATCTTCATCTATTTTGGATGGACTGAGGAACTCCTTTATGATACCACTAGCAAACTTCGTTCTAAGCCTCCCCCACCCATTCTCTCTTGCAGGAAGGTGGGTCTCGACTTCAGCATTTGATACAGAACAATGTGGCACCACTCCCCCATGAATCGCCTTATGAAAGACCTCAAATTCTGAATCATACTCATCAACTTTCCTTTCATCACCACCACTACTACTGCAACTGCCAGCACCATCATCAGTAGTCCCAAGAGCATCCCAAAACCCCTTCCCTTCTTCCCCTTCATGAACACAAACAAATGGACCTTTCGCCCTTTCGTATCTAATCATCTGGTTTGCAGCTACCCTGGCAAGATTCCACATCACACTGCTACATTTCTTCCCTATCCAAACAAATATGGTACTAGGAACATGGACAATGAAAGCTCCACGAGAGTCTAGTCCTTTCAAACCTGGATTGCTCAGCATCTTGGGGACAAGGTGGAGAGGATCATAAGGTGAATGAGGAGCCATTCGATACATACGAAGGACCGAATTAGGGCTAGCCGGAACAGCATGAACACGCTTCTGGCACTGAAGAAGCTGGCAAGCGAAACCCATGTTGGGATTAGTAACACCTCGAGCTGCTTTGACATACTGAAAAGCATCCTCAAAGCTCTGGCTTTCTCTCCACATGAGGTAAGCTATGACCAGAGAGGTGGATCTCGAGACACCCTGGCAACAATGGACCAAAACTTTCCCACTTTCCTCCCTCACATCTTCAAAGTAATCGAACACGTCGTAGAGAATACTGGTGATGTCTTCGGAAGGGGAATCCTTCAGCCAGAGGGTTTTATAAACGAGGTCATTTTTGAAGTACTCAGGGCAGACGAATCCTACACAGTTGAGAACGTGGGTGATTCCGTTCTGCCGGAGAACCTCCCGGTTCTTGGCGACTGCGTCGCTTCCGAGGTAAATGTGATCGGCGATTCTGGAGCATTCTTTGTCGAAGAAGGCCAATTTTTCTCTCTTGAACTGGAATTCTCTGTGAGGCTGGTGAGGATTGGTGTTGTTAGACGCCGGCTGAGGAGTCAATGGGAAGCCGCCGCCGGCGGTTCTGGGAGTTTGCGGGTTAGGCCAGATTCCCAAATCGTCGGACCCGGCCCCAGGCCATTCCTCCGCAGGAGCTCTGGTTATGGATAAAGGCTGCAGCGGCGGGAGACATGACCTCGCCTTGCTGTGATTCGAGGGCTGACGAGGTCTAGGGTTGTTGATCGGCCTGCGCGGCGAATTGTCGCTCCAGGAAACAGACCGGAGATAGTTTTTCCGGGCGGCGGCAGGAGGGAGTGGGTTATTAGTTTCCTCCTGGCCTAACATTTCAGAGAAACGGGATAAAAGAGAGAAAAGAAAAGGAATTTGGGTGGTGGGTTAACAATGGAATTCTATGGAAAGGGAATGGAACCCATGAAAGGATACTTGTATGAAAGGGGAAGAAGTCGGCATTCTTGTTAACACTGACAAAAAACACAGTCAATAATGAAAACTCCTAATACCTCCTTTTCCTTTTTATCTTTCACCTAAACCCTCTCACTGGACTTGCAACGAACGACAAACCCAAACATTAACGCTCTGTTTCTCTCTCTATCTGGCACTAAGTTTCGTTTTCTCGGTCTAAAAGGGGAAAGGGAGTGGAAGATTCAAAGCGACCTGGTAAGAGCTGGAAATGGCGGAGTTATAGCAAGATTCAAAAGGAAAGAGGCCCAAAAAGGGAATAATATTAAGAAAACAGGGGAAGGCTGTCGTGGGGTTTTTCTCTTGTGCTAATGGAGGATTGGCGATTAATGTATCAGGCGAGAGGAAGGGGAAGAAGACGATGAAAGGGGCGCGGAGCGAGTTGTGATCGACTCGGTGGGTCAAGTGGCAAAAAGATTGGATTGGTTGAATTTTCCCAGAAGAGAAAAGAGACAAGATTATGGGACGGAGGGAGGGATGAAAGGGAAAGAAGAAGAATTGGTCAAACTGCCACGTCATTGTTGAATGGCTTTCGCTCGGACTTGTTATTTAAACAGAAATGATTAATGAAATTAATTGATTGCAAGAAAAAAAAATTAATGCAATTATTTACTTGATGAATTTGGTTATTTACTTTCTTTTTTTTTGCATAGCAGGAGGCAAAAGCCAAGAAGAGAGAAGTTATATGGTGATGGAGGGTTGAGGAGAGAAAGAATTACACTGGCGGGACACAATCCGCCTCTCAAAAGAAACTCCCTGAATGTCATCCTGAAGAATAGACGCTACCTCTGACGGCGGGTGTGCGAGCTCCTGTACACCGTAGGGATAGACGAGACTGTGCTTCGAGAGCCAGTTCGCGACTCTATACCCTTCCCGGTATACGTGAACAACGCGCACCAGCCAGTCACGGCTAATCCTCCTGCGAATGGCAGCAAGTAAGGTGGCATAAGGGTGGACAGGATCGTGCCTGTCTTCAATTAGCTGAATGGCCATTTGGTTATTTACTTGAGTTTGAGTTTGTTGTCCTAAATACATACATGAAACAAACAATGAATTTTGAACAAAATGTGTTTATTTTCCAAATTTATGGACCCCACAAACTTGAAAGTTTCACCGTGGGAATTTATCATGGATTTTGAAGTCCATCATTTAGGTTTCTTGATGGATTTGAGGATGGATTTGGTGATGGATTTTGATCTATTATGGACTTTGTCGAAAATCCATTGTTTGCTTGATGCATTTAGGGGCAACAAATCCGTGGGTCCCACGAATTTTAAAGATCCACGGACTTGAAAGTCCCACCTATTTAGGTGGGAATTGATCATGGACTTTGAAGTTCATCATTTAAGACCAAACTACCCCTCCTATTTCATTTCTCTTCTCATACCAATGAGGGCGATAAAGGTAAATTTCACTTCATACATACAAATCTAATTAACCAATTCCATCATGAAATCTATGAAACACAAAATGGTATTTTTCAAGTCCATGATGAACCCAAAACCCTCATATATCCGTGGTTTTACAAAATCCAAGTTTTACCAAAACCTTCATTTTTCAAATCCACGAACCAAACGACCCCTTAAAACCAAACTACCCCTCCTATTTCATTTCTCCTCTCATACCAATGAGGGCAATAATGAAAATTTTCACTTCATACATGAAAATCAACCAATTCAATCATGAAATCTATCAAACAAACAATGGTATTTTTCAAGTCTTAATGAATCCAAAATCCTCATATTAATTTATACATGATTTTACAAAATCCAAAATTTATCAAAATATTCATTTTTCAAATCCACGAATCAAACCATGTAAATTGTTTTATTATTTGTTAAGTTTTCATGCGCAAATTGTGATGCCATTCAAGGCGCTGGTTTTATGGACAAATGAGTTACTTGATAGGCACGCTATGCTCACTTTTTTTTTTTTTTGTCAAAGGCACGCTCCGCTCACTTAACTGTAAGTCACACTTTTATTATGGGTGAATGACATATTTGATCACTCATGTTATAAATTGTTTTATGTGACATTTTTTACATAATTATCAGTGGTGACTGGTCATCTAAGTTTGATAGATATTATTAATGATGTCAAATTTTTTATATCTCTAACGGAGGTGCTGAGTTGGCATATAAAAAAGCATTAGTGAATCCAATACAACGAAATGGGTGGGAAGTAGGCTGTTAATGAGCTGAGCTATTCGTGAACGACTCGGTCTCGAACTCGATAAAAGCTCGTTCAATTAAAAAAATGGTCGGCTCGTTAATAAACGAGCCTAGCTTACGCTCTACCTTGTTCGGCTCGTGAAGCTCGTGAACTAGCTCGATTAGGTGGCTCGTTTACTACAACTCATGAACTGTCTCATTTTGAGCTTATGAAATGTCCCAACATTGTGACTAGAGAGCTAACTCGACTACAGCTTATGAGAAAATCAATCTATATTTTATGAGTTGGTTTGTTAATGATGCATATAATTATTAAATTGTATATATCACCTCATATAGTGTTTAATACATTGAGTATATGTAAGCAAATACGTCTCATATATGACATAACATTAGGAAATCACTTGTATCACATATGACATAGAAATATTAGGGTATTTATTTATATATTATTTAAGAGTTGAGCTCGAGCCGAACTTTCAATCTTAAAAATGTGTCAAGATTTAATAAATGAGCTGGCTCGTGTTCGACTCGACTCGGCTAGTTAATAAACGAGTCGGGCTCGAGCTCTGCTCGTTTATAAACTAGCCGAACATGAACAAGGCAAACCTCGACCCGGCTCGGCCCATTAACAGTCCTAGCGGAAAGAATAACTATAAGTATTTTCCCTTCCTTTCTACCATTTTATATTATGGTCAATCACGGGTTCAATGCACCGGATAACAATTAAATTTTGTGTGGTTGCACAATAACCACCTAATATATTTTGTTGTAAGTAAAACACCTAAACCCAACTTTTGTTGCACCATTACATTTTTCCTTCCAAACCTTAACAACAAGTATGAAAATGTAATTTTTCAGGTAGAATCACTGGAGCAATTGCAATTTGCAATAAGCACCATCGTAATCCTCCAACACCACTGCCGTCTCTCTTCTCCGACGACACCACTTTTCGCCAAAATCCAAGTTCTGAACCATCGCAAGATAAACCCATTATCCTCACCATTCAAACATATTGAAACCCAATACCATGCCCAAAGAAATTCCACACCAGCTTGTAGTCACTACCAAATAGCAGTGGCTTGCTCGTCGGAGCGTGGGTATCGTGGCCGGAGCAACCAATTCACCAGAAACAAAAGTTTGTTCCATTGCTTCGCCATTGCCCAATGAAATTCCACTCTAGCTTTTGCCATTGCTCCCATGGCATTGTTTTTTATGGTTTTAGATAAATTAGAGAATCTAGTTCGTTCCAAATGTGGCAATCTGCCATGAGCATGAAAGCAGGGGACTTGTTCACCATACAACAGGATGCATATTCTTCATTTGAGGCATCATAAATTGCATGATTCTCTTTTCTATTATGGGTTTGAGTTCAATTCGAGCAGCTGCTACCTTGTTTTATTTTGAAGTTTAAGCTAATTGATTTGTGTGGAATTTGAAATAATTTCAATGAATGGAATCTCCACCGAACGTTGAGCGGAGGTTGATGACCCGTCGTCACTCCAGGCTCAGCAAAATTGTCTAAGTGATAGGCAAAATTACTCTTTAATACTCACCATGAAGTTTTGAGACAGAAAAAGTAACGGTGTAACTAAAAATACACTAAAATGATTTAGTTGTAACAAAATACATTTAGATGGTTAGTGTTCAACAAAAGCAAAACTTAATTGCTACCCATTGCCATTAACCGGGTCAATCGCCATGAGTCATCTTGGCCACTCTTGGGGAGGGGGGCGATCACCATGGATCACCTCAACCACTCGTGGGGTGATCACCCAAGGTCATTTTGGGCACCCCCGGTTCACCCGAGCCACCCCCTAGGGTCGATCACCTCAATCACTCCTACCACCCTCATGATAGATCACTATGGGTCACCTCGATCACCCTTGAGTCAATCCAGCAATTCCTGAGATGGGGTCAGTCACCCCCAGTCACCTCGGCCAGCCTGTGATCACTTTGGCTACTCTCTAGGTCAAACATCACAGTTCACCTCGGCCACCCTGAATTGGAGTGTTCAAATTGTTACCATGATTATTAACAAACCAATTTGAGCCTAACCGGGGTAATGAATTTAACATAACATTATCATTATGTGAGAAAGCCATATCCCGATAATGCATAATTCATAATTTATATAATGAATAAAACATAACGATTAATATATAGTTAACCATTAATGTAAATACATGCAACTATTAAAATTATATTACAGTCACTAGAAGTAGCCTCCTAACAAAAATATATGCTAATGGTATAAGGTTAGTGAATTGAGTGTGTCTATGTGAGTTGTCTTAGTCTTTTAGCAATTATCAAAGAATACAAATCTCTTCTCTTCCAGCTTTTCATCCTACATAATAAGTGAGATTTATCTAAAAATTGGGTGTTCATACATCATTGTCTATTATCCATAAGAACAATACAATACAGGAACATAATGAGCTTCAATTTTTTTATGGATCCAAAAGATAGGAGCACTTAATTCTTGAGTGATTATGCAAAGAATTAATTATGAATGTATAATATATTAGATATATGACTAATTGTTTAATTGGTTTGATTGGTTATTAGTGACTAAAATCCAACCAAACCACCTAACACGTACAGTAAAGTATAAATTTTTTTTTAATAAAAACAAATCCATTATCCAAATTAATCAAACCAAATTATCCGATTCTATCGGTTAAAATGGGTACCCATTTGAACACCCCTACTTGAGGTCACTCCGACCACCCTCAGGGCCAATCACCTCGGCCACCCCCAAGTCAGTCACCCTAGGTAGCCCAACACCCTCAGTCATGTACTTCCATGACGTGTCTATCCCTTCCCTCAGAGCTCCCAGAGGAAGATACATACCCCCTCTACGATTGCCCGATAACTGTTATAAAAGGTCACCTTGTCTTCGGGTTAAGGTAAGCGAAAAAACTCATGCCTATCCTCATGAATTCCTACTATGATTAGCAAAGATATTCACTTTCAACTCCCTTTCCTCATGTTTCTTTTCGAGTTTGTACTCCTCTTGCCCATAACCACTCACTAACTTGTGTGTCAAAAAGTTCCCATATTGAGATTGGCCGACAAATCCTTTTTGCAGGAAACGAGCGGCGCAGACATCACGAGAGTAAATCAAGGTGAAAAGTGATCGTCAACCAACCCCGGTGCTCAGCATAAAAAAACTTGATGTCGTCTACAACATCAACATCATTGCACATTAATTAATGTAATTCGTTAGTAACTGTAATGAAGTGATTTAATATAGTGCTGAAATTATAAAAAATGAAAAATGAAAAAGAAAAATAGAACATCTTGCTGGAATCCACCATTGCCATTTTTTTTAGGTCAATATGAT